GTGCAACCCTGTTTGATGCTCAATTTTCCTTACAAAAACAACAAACTCATTAAACGTATCTTTCTTACTTGCAAGAAAGATAGTCCATGTAAATCGTGAAAAGTCATCAACAATAACTAACACATATTCTTTGTTTCCCCGACTTCGGACTGACATTGGACCACACAAATCCATATGAATTAGTTCAATGGGCTTGCTTGTGCTCACAAAATTCTTTGTCTTAAAAGATGATCGAGATTGTTTTCCAGTGGCACAGGCAGAGCAAATATGATCAAGGGAATATTTGATTTTAGGTAGCCCGACTACCAATTCATTATTTTTGAGTTTATTGATTAACGAAAAGCTAGCGTGGCCCAATCTTTTATGCCAGAGTAGGGGATCATTGTCAATAACGCTTAGGCAGGTCAAACTTATACTTGGCAATAAATCGAGATCAACTTTATATGTATTTTCAAGTCTCTTGCCTTCTAGTATGCCTTGCTGAGATTCGTTATTGACAATGCGGCATACATTATGATCAAAAACTACACTGTTACCTCGATCGCAAAACTGAGAAATGCTAAGCAGATTAAACTTTAGACCTTTGACTAGGAAAACATTGTCTATTGCATGGTCGGGTGACTTTCCAATTTTTCCCACAGCAATGATTTCTCCTTTGCTGTTGTCTCCAAATGTCACCTTTCCACCACTAAATGGCCGCAGTGAGAGGAACAAAGATTTATCTCCGGTCATGTGTTTAGAACAACCACTGTCAAGGAACCAGTGATTGTTCCCCCTCACTCGGCGTTGTTCCAGGATTAAGGTTTAGTGCGTGGAACCCAGACCTGCTTGGGTTCCATTTAATATTGGTTTGAGGAATATTTACTGAAATTAATGCTTCTCTCTAAGGCCTGTTGTCGAGAGTGACATTGATACATAAGATGTCCGTCTTTGCCACAATATCTTGGCTCTAGTGGCTTCCTCGAGTTTAGACTCAAGTTCGGTGATTTGTGATTTAAGATTATCATTTTCAGAAAGACTTTGATTTAGTTCGATTGTTAATCTTTTGAAAATCTTTCGGACCTTGCCTTTAGAGAGGGAATCAAATTTAGAAAGAAAGCTCTCCAAATTTACCTCGAAATTCTCTTGGTCGGATTCTACATCGGAATTAGCCATGAGGCACAATCCAGCATGATTTAGGCCCTTTTCTTCTTCTTCTTCTTCATCATCGGATGAGTCTCCCCAGGCTGCCATCATTGCCTTTTTGAGGTCTCTGTTGAATCCTTTATCTTCATCGGACCTCCGATGAGAACTGGTCTTGTTCTTGTCGTAGGTTCTATCATTTTTCTTTTGAGGACAATCTTTTGCCCTGTGCTCAAAGGAACCACAAACGAAACAACATTGATTATTAAAAGATTGGAAACCCTTTTTACCTTGTTTATTTCGGTTGCCTTTGAATTTTCGGTACATCTTTCCGAATTGCTTGGCGAACATGCTCATTTCATCTTCCGATTCACTTCCGGATTCTTCTTCTTCTTCTCGAGCCTTGAGAGCTATTCCTCGCTCTTTTCTCACATTTTCTGCATCTTGTTCTTCTTGTAGGCCTAGCTCATATGTCATGAGTGAGCCGGTCAAGTCCTCTAGCGTCATGGTAGAGAGATCTTTAGCTTCTTCTATTGCTGTAGTTTTAGGCTTCCATGCGGATGGCAGGCTTCTCATAACTTTTCTCACCTGATCTTCTACAGTAATATCTTTTCCAAGTGCTGAGAGCTCATTGATAATATTAGTAAAACGTGTAATCATATCCCTAATTGATTCTTTAGGCTTCATCACGAATAATTCGTAATTACGCATAAATATGTCAATTTTGGATCTTTTTACACGCGAGGTACCCTCATGCGTAATATCAAGTAGATCCCACATTTGTTTTGCGGATTTGCATCCAAGAACACGGTTGTGCTCAGCCGGACCAAGTCCACAAATCAAATATTTCAATGCTTGAGCATTATGCTCGAGTTTACAATAATCATCAGAGGTATATTCAGATTTGGGTTTAGGGATAACCATACCTTCGGCATCTTCTTTAGTAATGATGTTATCGCCTACTTCAATTACGTTCCATACCTGGTAGTTCTCAGCCTTGATGAAGTTCTCCATTCGACTCTTCCAGAATTGATAAAATTTGTCGTTGAACAACGGTGGTCGTTGAGTCGAGTATCCTTCCTCCAATCGTTCAACCGTATTCATGCTGCCGGATCTCTTCCCAAGGTTTTAACCTTTCTGTGGTGAAGACCGGCTCTGATACTAATTGATGAAACGGTTAGCAACACAAGAGGGGGGGTGAATTGTGTGTGTGTGGAACCGTGACAGTTTTTCGCACAGTTCTAGTGTGGGGTTCAGGGATTTACGAAATAATAAAGTGAACAGGATTTAACGAGGAAAAATCCCTTGGCTCAAAGGGATTAAAAAACCTCGACCTCCCTCGGAGGAATTTGAACAACTTCACTAAAAAGCCTTTGAATAATTACAAGGGAAACTCTCCTAGTCTACCCTTGAGCCACCCCAACTCTATCCTCTCTAAGAAGAGTTATGCTTCTCTACCTTGTGGGTAGAGAGCCTCTCAGCTTTACAACAAAGCTCTCACAACACACTAACTGACCCGAGGATGCTACACTTAGTCAATCCTCAAAAACCCAATTACAATATGAAGAAAGGAAAAGGAAACTCTGTTTGGAACTCCGTGAGCAGGTTCTGGTGCCTTGGACTTAGTAGATATTCTTGTGTATATTTCTCAATAGAAGCTTGGTCAAGCACACCCTTTCGTCTGGTCCTTTGTCCAATATATATAGCATCCGTAGCCTCTTCTTTCCTTTTATTCAAAAGATCTTCCGGCTCACAATTATGGTGATCCTCGATCAACCATATATATATGAAGTATATTATGAGTAAATCACTCAATAACAAAACAGATATGGAGAATATTACGTATCACATATAAGGAGAATATTTTATTCTCCTAATATAAGCATCCAACGGACATTATGTAGCAACAACATATTTATATAATCAATGATTAGTTCTCTTTAACAAGTTTGAATATGTAACGATCATATAAGTAAGATATTCAAATAAGGTGCTACAGATCATGCAACCCAAGATACTTTCCAAAATTTATCTTTTAATATAATGACTTTTTAACATTAAGTGATAAGGAAATATTTACTTAGTGGATCTAAATATGCTACGGTCAATTTGTGCAGGATATTTATGTAGCATAAATAATGATTCTTTCCATAAGCTATATAGGCCAACTCATAGAGGTGAGTGCTTAGTCGTATACGGAAAGATATATAAATTGTGCCACGTATATTAAGAATATGCATGATCAATCTAGGCATGTAGATGAGGTATTATCATGCAGGTACATATTAATTTATTCATTATGCACAACAATCAGTCATATAGATCAGAACTAAGTATAGTTCCAATTCTCGTTCCTAATGGAACTGAGAGCAGTTCTGTCCGCCATTCCACCTACATGGTTAGTCATCAACAAAACAACATATTCAACATGTAGGTAAAAGGTCAAATAAAAAGCCACAGAACAATCGCCATGTGCAGGCACTTGTATAAGTTTAGCAACACAATTATCAAACTTGTTCAGCAATCCACAACAAGTAAAGGTCGAAACCCCTTAAACCCTGAATGTACTAAGGGTTGCCTACGCTAAAGAAACCCTGGACTATGAGTTCATTTTTAGCTCACAATCAAGAATCCGAGATTCACCAAATGTAACGGATAAATTAATCCACAAAAAGAACATAATAATTGTAACCATCAATAGACTTCTCAAATAGGCTCTAAATGTTAGCGTAAATAAGTTCTAGGGGGTCGATTTGCACTACTCATAGAATTGACAAAAAAGTGGTAATTTTGTGAGTTTATTAACTGACAGGACATACATTATTGAAACAAACTAGAGGAGGTACATGAGAACACGTTTATATTCTGATGAATTAAACGAGCAAAGACACGACATGATGCATGGATGATCGAGAGTGTGATGCCATTGAGCAAGAGTAAGACATTGAGTATTATTTATTGACGTGAGCTCCTTGCGAGATGGCTCAATGCCATTGAGCAAGAGTAAGACATTGAGCCACTTGTGCATCATTACTATTCTCCCGATGCACAAGTGACGTCCCTGTTATCCGATCCTTGACATGAAAATGAGTGGGAAAAATTCAATAGAGACGTTATTATTTTTGCACTGTTTTGCAACAGAAATAAGATTTTTATTTAAAAGAGGGACACACGGAATCTTGATTATGAGATCATTTGATAACCCATATTTGAAATTTATTAGTCTCATCAGTCATTTTTCTTACTAGAATAAACGTGTAATCTTTAATTTTATGCATTGAATTGTGTCATAATCAAAATACGTAGGTGAATTTAGTTTTCGTGTTGAATTACTTGAAGTTAATGTAAAGGGTCATTTTACTTATCTTTTATTAATTTTTTTCTTATTCTCTTAATAAATACTACGTATATTTTAAATAAGTTTTCCACAATTCATCAGGTTCACCACTTCAGTCAAAATTATTCAAATTTCAATAAATTCAGCCAATTCCGGATTTGAGTATTACTAAAGAAGCTTTGTTCGGTGATGGAGGAGACTTTGTTTTCTGAAGTACTGTTTCTTAATGAGCTGATTCTGGTTCTTAATTAAATCATGTCAATCCGAAGTCCTACTGCCTACGCCCTAGTTCTCCTTTTGATCAATACTACGCATATATCAGTGCATTAAAAATACTTGTAGATATTGAATCCATTGTGGAAAGGGACAATTTTTAATTTTTTTCCTATGTACACCTTTCCGTATGTGTACATGTGTACAAACAATTTCTGAAAAAATATGCATTTTTGATGAATTGTAAGATAAGAAAAAAAGGCTAGGGGTATATAAAATGGTGTATAAAGCCATAATGGACACTATCCTATGGAAAAACCAATCAATTGGTATGTTTAAGTTTGACTTGGTGGTGAGAGATGAGGTTAAAGATTAATCACATAGAGTGATATAGAAAAAGCAAATATTTACCACATCATGGAAATAATTCAATGAGAGTAAATACATTATGCATGTTTATATCATGTCATTTCTGATTAGACGTACACAAATATGAAATACCATTACATAAAAAAATCAAGAATAATTTTGTTGTCTAAACTAACCAAATGGTTCCTTTTATGGAATGTCCACCAGGCCAAGTAAGTGTCACATGCACACATATGTTCTTGTTAAGACGGGTTCAATTTTCCGGTGTGGGATTTGAATAGTTCCTTCTAGCTTTGAGTCTAGAAATTCATGTTTTGATGAGTTTATGACCCATCCATCCACTAATTCAGTCACATGCAGCTTAACCTGCTTCGATATTCTAAGAAAATCTGTGCAGCAGCATAGTGAGACATGGCTCCAAAGATCACAAAAACATGAAATATCTGGTGACTATGTCCAGCCAGGTCAAAGAAACCTGGCATCCACCTCTCTGGAACTCTGGTCATATAAAACAATGTCCCAATGACATAAAACAAACCCATGGCTGCTTCATATGCAAGTGTCACATTCCTCTCAGGCTCATCCCAGTTCACCATCAGCGCGTGGACGGCCGGGATGAGCCCCGAGAGTCCCATCGCCAGGAACAAACCTGCGCGGAAGGAGCGGTACTTTCCCGTCGAAAAGGCGGGGGTGAGGAGCGTGATGATGGTGCAGACTCCCATGACTGTGATCCCCGAGAGGTATACGATTTGCCAGTGAGGGGTGCACTGGAAGATGTAGTAGATTGGTGGGAAGAAGGAGGTGATGATCATGACAGCGATTCCTGCATAGTCCATTTGCAGGAGTTGGAGAGTGAGGTGGTGGGAGTGGCAGGAGAAGAGGTGGCAGGTGCTGCTGGATAAAAGACAGAACATTGATCCTCCTAGGAACACATAGAATGGCCATACTGTTCTTGCAAGCTCTCCTGTTGTGGCTGCTATGTCCATTTTTATGTTTAAGTCAGCCAATCTGTTTGGCCCCTGCAAAAGAATTGACACATGTTATGAACATTGCTCTGTTTTCAATTGTCCCACTTAACAATAGTAGTATGCATTATATTTGGTAAAATAGAATCAAAACATTACACATTTTTCTTCAAATAAGATTATTATTATTATCTGCTCCTAGAAATCCTAGAATAGAACTTTAACAGTTTGTGTTCTTTCATGAGCATAAAGTAAGTCATGTTTTAAGAACAAACATCATTAGTGGTATTTGTGAACTGGTCAAAACAGGAGACAAAGTCCCTCAAATACTTCCTCAGGTATATACAGTTATAAATGTTTGTAAACTATCAAAACATATGTTCATATATATTCAGATGGTCCAAAATTTTCAAGTCCTGGCCTGCCACTAAAAATAATATTTTTGTTCCACCACTACTTAAATAAGTCAACATGACTACGTACCTGGAAAAAGTCCTGAGAATTCTGAGAGAGATTTCCATGTGAACTTGTTGGGAAATTCCTGTAAATAATGACCATTAAATTAATAAGTCAGACAATCTCTTTTAGTAACGCCTTTAATTTTCCTTGATTGCTTGATTATGAAAAACCAAGCATTCAAAAAGGTAAAGGACAAGTTAACATTCACAACATTTATTTTTTCAAAATTCATCAAATTCATCCATTTCAATAATTGTCTCATCAAACTCAACAAATTCAACTAATTTAGCCAATTTGAGTGTTATAAAATGAGAGCAATTAAATACATTTAATTGGCTATTGAAAAGAGGTAAACGATGAATTAAGCTCTCAACCTATTATCCTAACATGGACATATATTAGTGGGAAGCATGATTTGTGATAGGTCAAATTTATAGTTTGTGGTTGGCAGGTTGAAGATCTAATTTGTGTGCACATAAGAATGGATTTATATATACTCCCACCACCCGCACGGACAGCTCAGTTGGTTCAGTGGTGGGAAATTTGGACCAAGTGACCAAGGTTCGAAACCCGCAGCGGCCGTGTGGAGGTCACAGAACCTGAAATAAGGCTGGGCCTCTGGTGCGCACGAGAAAAATGCCTATCATCATTGGACCGACTGAGTCACCGTGATTAACATCCTCCCAAAAATCATGTCGGATCGGGTTATGGGGAGCTCCTGGGGTGGAAGATTCCACCTTTTTGACCAATATATATACTTCCACCCAGGGTAGAGATAGGGGAGGCTAGAAGGGGTACTAAAAAATACAGTGAACCTACCGTTTCTAGCTCCGCCGCTACATAATTTAACATACCAAATACCATCCGTTTATAATAATTTCATTATTTTAAAGAAAGCTAAAAATGAAATGATAGTCAAAAGAGTAAAAGTAGTATTCCTCCTTCAAATTAGTGGAGATTTATCGTTTATGTTGGACAAAAACCGGGAAAGTATAGAGAGAAATACTAATATGAAATACTCCTCCGTTCCGTAATTAACTTCCCACTTCGATTTCACACATACTTCGTATTGAGGAAAATTTTATTGTTTTGACATTGTTTCGACACTCTTTCGACACTGTTTGGCACTATTTGCACTATTTTGATGCAGATAATTTGCCAAATAAGGAAGTGGAAAGAAGTGAGAATATAATTTCGGGACGGTCTGAAAAAGAAACTGGGAAGTTAATTCAGGGAGGGAGAGAGTACGAATCACACACTCTGGCCCAAATTAGTTGGACAGAAAAAGAAAATGAATATAAAAGGATTTGGGCCAAATGAATGGACGCTTTTTAGTAGTGTTAATGCCTTATTGAAGCTAGCTTTCAATATGGTCCACGTGTATCTCTATAAAAGGAAGGGAAATTCCGTAGAGAAAAGCTTTCTGTTATAAAAATATATTAACATCACAGATCTCGTTTAAGGAGAAATTAAATATTATTTTTAACTGTTGCTTCTATTCTTCCAAAAAAAATCTGTTGCTTCTATTATTTTTTGTGACAAATCTTCCGTCCAAGTCCACCTCATTTAAAAAAAACATAGAAGTCCAAAGATGTACTCCCTCGTCCCTCAAAATACTTCCAACTTTCCCTTTTCGTCCATTCTAAAAAGAACTTTCCTTTCCTTTTTGGCAAAGAATTTGTGGTTCACAACAATTCTTACACATTTCTCTCTCCTCTTCACAACTCTCCACCACACAAAACTCACTTTCTTTATCCGTGTGTCATTTGTACTACGGAAGTAAATTATGGGATGGAGGTAGTAATTAAGACAATGTAAAGAGGAATTTTATCAATTTAAAATTTGAAAAATAAGTTAATTATCAATCAACAATTTGAATGGTTAAAAATATCAATATAGCATCTAAATGATTGAAAATCATCAATAAAAAAATTAAAATATAACAGGTTTTGATTTCTTTAACTCAATATTTAATTTATTGTTATCTTTTGATGATTCTTTCCTCGCACAAAAATATACAGTATAATAATTTTCATATACATTGTATTATAACAATAGACAACTAATAAATATTGCGGGATATATAGTTTTGGATGGGCGTAGCTACGGGGTCATGTTAGAACTCGGTTCACCCCAAATTTTAAAAATGTGTCCATCTACCGTATAAAAAACTATATACTTCGTATTTTTGTAAATCATTGTACCTATCCAGCTTGGTGTTATTAGCTAGATGCATCCAAGCCATTTGTGGTTGGAAGACATCGTCAAATGCAGCCATTAATAGTGTGTGCTATTCAATGATGTAGTCAATTTCAGCGTAATTAAAACTCCAACTTTTTGAAAGGAAGTAAATCGTTGTCACACTTCCAAGGAAAATGGTCACACTTCCAAGGAAAAGGTATAATTATAGGTATAACGGGTTCGAGAAAGTATAACGAAAATGGAAATTATAAAAATCATAGGGATTTAATTACATACAAACGCTGTAATTAATTTCTAATGACTCACCACATGAACAACGGCATGAAATCTGCTAGAGGAGGCAGAGGGACTAAATTCGCAATTGTCAGCCCCAAAAATAAAACGAATCCAATTAAATGTCTGCCAAAAGAGGAATTGAAGATGATCAAATTTCATAAAAATTGGAAAAAGTAAACTTATAAAGAAAAAACAGCAAATGAATTAATCAAATAAAATATCTTACGTCCAAACATTCAGCGTTTCGTTATGCCACCGGAAAACGCTGAGAAAGGCTTGTTTCAAAGGCCATTCAGCTCTGTAATAATTCAGAATAAACTCATTGTCCTTCATGTACTCGGGCAACTCTTCGAAAGATACCAACCCGTATTTCGTCCCCTTCTTTCCCCCGCTCTTCTTTTTCTTCTTCATTTCCCCGTGCCCGTCTTTGCACGGCGGTCCTACAGTCGGACTAGGACCGCCGTCGTTGACCGAGGAGTCAATCGTTTTGTGGGTAATACCCTTGTCCAAGTTCATCTCCTTCTTAAAACCAGAACGTTTGATCATGTGAGAATGAAAAGTTGAAAAAAATTGAAGAAAAAAAGGCAATGAAATTTGTAGCTACTGAGAATTGAAGAAGCTAGAAATGGGTTTTTCTTCTTTTTTTGTTGTACCTATGAGAATGAAATATATATATTGATGGAAGATAGTTGTTGCGGGTAGGGAAGGCAACTGGGAAGTTATTGCAACTACTAAAAAAGCCAGCATTTATAGACAGCCCTGTTGAGCTTGACTTCTTCTTTAGTGCAATTTTTTGGTTAGGTGATCGGTAACGGCCTCTTTCTCCTCCCCATGCTGACTTCATGACCTCTCTTTTACTTGCGACTATTTCTTTATATATTTTTTGGTTTGTGGACATTAATTTCACCTCACACATTCTTCACCCTTAGAGATATATTTTACTTCATAGTCCCTCCGAGGTCCCAAAATAATTGTCATGTTTTCCTTTTCGGTCTGTCCCGAAATAATTGTCTCATTTCCTTATTTGGTAAACAAATCTATACAAAACAGTGTCAAACAGTGTCGCTACAGTGCCAAACAGTGTCGCTACAGTGCCAAACAGTGTCGGTACAGTGTGAAGTCAACTTTGTTTTCTTAATCTGTATGAAGGTCAAAACAAGATGATTATTTCAGAACGGAGGGACTAATTTACTAGAGGCCCGGAGGACATGTATATGGCTGGCTAGCTAGGAAAATAGGTTGTCCAATTTAAGTAGCTAGTTAGCTTCCCTCTCTTGTTTGGAAGTCTAACCAAAATTGAGCATTTTCTTGTAAACAAAAATGAGGTTGAGGACTTGAGCAACCTCCCAATTGAGTTCAATTGGTAGGACGGATCGATTCACCCATTTTTACAAGCTTCCCAATGGTCATTCATTTTTGTGTTTTATTACCTTGGACTCGCTCAAGTACAAAGTATTATGGTTAAATAAGAGTTTTATCTTTCTTAAAACTAATTGATGATAAGGGATGACCACACTCTATTTAATATATTAATCTATGGTAACTCAGTCAACGTAAATTTATGTTGGGTACCTTCATCACTGAGCGGTGGATGAACATGAGAAACTGCATGCACCATACGGTGGTGATGAACTGATGATTCGCTGTAAAACCAACAATACTTAATGGTTGTGCCACTCTTGTTTTTGTAACAATTGAAAACTGTAAAGTAATTTTTGAAATGTTCATTCTCGTTACATGCAATGAATATTTTCATATTTTTCTCTGATTCCGTTCATAAAAGAATTCATTATTGTTTTAAATTTAGATGAAGTTTTTTCAGTTTATACTTTCTCAATAATTAGTAATAATACTACTTTAGGTATATACTATCCACAATGATATATTAAACTCAAACTTCAGTCAAACATCATCTCCAAAGTGTGGAACATGTGGTAGCATCATGTCCAAAACATGATAACTTTAGAGAAATATATTTATAATAAAGCTAGGTAATGTAATCAAATACGGAGTATATATGTAGCATCACTAAAGCCTTTTACTAAATTCCTCGTCATAAATTAACTGTCAAAATCTGTTTGGACGTATTGCGTGCTCCAAGGCATACTAATACTTATTAATAATTGTTAGTCTCGTTTACACAAGAAACAGTCTAGTGGGGTGAATAGACTGTTCAAATTTACAATTTCTGATGAGGGTATTCTAACATTTTAATAGAACTAGCATCATCAAAATCTAAATATAATTTATTCCTTATAATAACTTGAAAGAAATTTTAGTAATTAGCACTAATGAGCATGCATATATGAAAAGAATAGATATTTTTCTTAAATTACTACGTAGTAATTAAGTAAAAATGATGAACAAAAAAATAACTTAAGTTACTACAAGTGTATCATCATATGGCAATGTAAATTTGAACATGCCACTAGAGTTACTAATATAGTCATCAAAGTAAAACAACCAAATTCTTTTCTATTATCTTTGTTTTAGACATATTCTTACCATTAAATCTTAAAATGACTCATCGGATAAAAAAATAAGAATAAATGGCTATAAAGAAATCAGTAAATCACCTTTTAAAATTGATGCATTACATAAGCTTCTTATTATTATTAAAAGTTTTGTAGGATTACTCTATGTTGGAGGACGTAATGCTCAATATTTATTACAAACCACCAAAACTTTGACAAAAATAATACGGAGTAGATTATTATACATTAAAGCATACACTTTTTACAGGTTTAAATTTGATATAATTATTATTAGGCTGTATATAGTCATCTCATTTCTCCATTTCTAATTAAGATCAATGAGAATTCTTAATATTCATCTAACAAACTTAAGACATTAGTAGGCTGTATATAGTCTACTTTTATTTAATACGATATGCACCTACCACCAAATTAATATGTCAATCATACAAGAAGAGTGAAGTGGACGTTATAACAAGACATTTTGTACATTTGTAAATTAAAACAAAATTCACATTTGTCTCGAAACGGTTCTACATTTAATAACATAAAATGCACCCAAAATGATTGGAGGAGAGTTTTGAGAGTCGAGTCCCACCACCATGTGAACTTCATAGCTCTTGATAGCTCCAATTTCAGAGGAAATGCAAAATTAATAATTTTTTTCCAACCAATTAACAATAATTTTTGAAGTGCTAAACTATTTAATTTGATCCAACAAACCAGTCACCTTTTGTGGGCATGCAGTGTAATTTGTAAGCAAAATACAAGAAAGCAAATGATCATATAGGAATCAATTAAACTAATTGATAGAGTATATGAACTCGGACCTCAGTCCCATGACTATTCGGTCCGGACAACGGCACACGTACGCTCAGTACACTACAAAAAAATTCGTCTGTAGTCACGGATTTAGTCACGGACCGTAGTGTAAAAAGTCCGTGACTAACACTTTTAGTCACGGACTTCGTCCGTGACTAGTTCAGTGACTAGTTCTGCGTGACTAGAATGTAGTCACGGACCAGTGGCCGTGACTAGGTGTAGTCACGGATTAGTCACGGATCGACGTACGTGACTACATCTTGACCGGAATAAGCCTCCGGCACGTTAGTCAAGGACCATATCCGTGACTACTTTTAATTTAAATTTTTTTTGAGTTAGTCACGGACACGAGCCGTGACTACGTTCAATTTAATTTTTTTTTTATTTTTGTGGTAGTCACGGACGTATCCGTGACTATATTAAATTTAAAAAAATTGAATTTATTCCGGATAAAATGTAGTCACGGATCTGGTCCGTGACTAATGTTTTTGTTTTAAAAAAAACAATTTTATATAAAAAAATAAAAAAAACGAAAATTGAATTTATTCCGGATTAAAAAGTAGTCACGGATTAAGTCCGTGACTAATGTTTTTGATTTTAAAAAAAAAACAATTTTTTATAAAAAATAAAAAATTATTTTAATTTTATTTTAGAGCAATTACAATAAAAATAAATTCCATACGCTATTAAAAATAAAAATGTTATTACAGACAGAATTATAAAAACAAAATCGATACAATGTCAAACAATATAATGTAATTACATGCCCGTACGTCGGACTCCATTGTGATAATAATTAGAATCATCATAATCGTATTCATCATCATTATCATCATAATCACGATGATGATCCTCTTCTGCATCCACGGGGTCCAAGGGTCGGGAACTTCCTCGGCTGCCTCGGTTGCCTCCTCGATTGCCTCCTAGGTTGCTTCCTCGGTGGCTTCCTCGGTGACTTCCTCGGTGGCTTCCTCGGCTGCCTCCTCCCGATGACTGAAACTGATTGAGCATATCAGACGACAGAGATCCAAATGTCGACCCTATTGCAGGCATGGCACCATAACCGGAGTTAGAGTGGTAACCCATACCACCCATGTGCGGAACCTGAGGAGTCTGCTCAACGTGCATAATGTACGGCCGAGGATGAGGTTGAGGTGGAGGCTGATATCCAGCAAGGATCCGTTCCATCGCTTCCAGCCGGGCCCTCGTTTCTTCATCATTCTTTCGTTGTTGTTCAAATGCACGTTGCTGCTCCTCCAATTCTCGTTGCAATTGGGCAATGCGTGGATCCTCTCCTCGTGTAGATTGAGAAGATGATGAAGCTCCGCTGCCGCTGCAATCGTACAAAATACGTTGCCCCTCAGCCCCGAGGCATGGAAGCCGACCCTTGTACACCCATGTTGCCTCAAGGATGGCATCATCTTCCACATCAGAATCGATGTCATCTTCTTGAGTCAAGCCAAGTTCCGCCCGCTTCTTTTCAACATTTGCGTTATACTTTGTCTACAAACATTTAAAAAATTATTCAAATGATATTTACTTCAATTTGAAATAATAGTATTGATTTTGAAATAATAGTATTGATGTTACATACTTCGATTTCAGCAAGGCGGGGTGGTAGATTGGCTGGCGACTCAACACCGCTCTTCGTCCAACAATGTTTGATTACACTGAGGATAGGGACCCTCTTCTTTTGAGGCCCCGCCTACAAGGTCAGAAAAAGGTTTAAATAAATTTAAAAAAATAAACGGTTAAAATGGTGTAGGTTTATTTGAATAAGACTTACAAGAGCTTCTTTATGTTTACTCTGGGGTTTGCGGCCTCCGTGCCATTGTGTCGTCATTGCCTTCTCGGACATCCGATTTTTCTTCCCGGCTTCGCTTCTAGCCAAGAAAGCCGGATCCGAAGACCAGTGGCGGACGAGGTTTTCCCATACCTCATCCGAACACCATTGAGGCCTTACCCCACTGGCTCGGGCACGCCTAAAAGTGGGGCGAAGCCAGTTTTTGGAGGTTTAACACGAGGGGGTATTTCTTTGATTATTTGGGAATATAATGTAAAGAGGCATACATATTAATTAAACTAACTCATGTTCTTTAATTCATAAGTCCGAAATTAAAAAAGATATTATTTAATCATGCATGTTTAACTTATAATGAAATTTTATGTAGGCATACATATTAATTAAACTTATATACAACCAATATAGGCATGCCAATTAATCATATATACAAACTAAATCATGTTATATTGAGCATATAGAACATGTAATAAACTGAATCATGCCAATTATATTGAGCATATAGAACATGTAATTAAACTTGTACACAACAAATAAAGGCATGCCAATTAAACATATATACAAACTAAATCATGTTATCTTGAGCATATAGAACATGTAATAAACTGAACATAT